CGCGAAAAATTCATATCTTTGTTCAATAAAATCCTACGGATCTCTAACTTGCTCACAAAAATTGCACACTATATCAGACGCTCACATGTACCGTTTCTGAATTTTTCCTCATTTAGAAATCGAGAAAACGAAAATTTTCAAGTGTTCACAAAAACGAAGCTAAGCTGTTTTCAATCATGCAATTGTATACTACAATCCTTTAGAAGTATAACCGTAAATTTTCAACTTTTTACATGCCCTAGTTTCGAAAATTAGAATTCAGCTCTCCTCACTGGGGTGTTTCATGCTAAACCAAATATTTCTCGAAAACTAAGGTATGTGGAAAGCTAAAAATTTATGGTTATACTTCTAACGGATTGTAGTAGTACAATTGCATGATTGGAAACAGCTTAGCTCCGTTTCTGTGAAAACTTGAAATTTTCGTTTTCTCGATTTCTAAATGAGGAAGAAAATCAGAAACGGTATCTATGAATGTCTGAGGTAGTGTGCCATTTTTGTGAGCAAGTTGGAGATCCGTGGGATTTTATTGAACGAAGATATAATTTTTTTTGCGACTTTCTGAGCCTTCAGTGCGACTCACATTTTGGATGCAAACTTGGTCGAAGCTGGTGCGAACTTTTGCATACAATTTGTAGAGCTTGATTGCTCTATCGAATGGTACTCCGGATCCCTGTTGAAAATGTGAACTGCATGACTTATCGCCTTAAGAAGTAAGAATGTCTCAAGACTTATGTTACAACCTAACAATTGCCGTCTTGTTTTACTTATATTAGGTCGTCCTCAGATATTGTTTTGTAGAGCTGGCTTCAACTCAGATTTATAGTATAGAGCGAATCACCGATCGCTTTTCATTACTGTAGGATTACGATAGAAATTTGAAACATATGGTGTCAATGTGGAAATAGCAAATAGTTGCCGCAAAATTCTTCAAAAAAGTGTTAAAACTTATGTAGTAGGGTTTTTATGAACGCTGAGCTCAATACTTAACTATTCACAAGATTACGAAGCTTTCTAGACTGTGTAACCGCACTTTTTAGAAACATTTAAAAAAATGGCCGCTACCTCTTACCCGGCGTAACTCTTCAGAGAAGCATCATAATAAGTTGGGAACTTTACATTTAGAATTAACAACTCTAATTAGCCTAGTGTAAAAGCTTTCAGGCTGTTTTGTTTCCTTTCTGAGGCAAAATATGGCCTTTCATGGCTCAAAACCCTCTTTAAACTACCGCAATCCTAAAGTAACGAAGAAAGATATGTGATTCGTTCTATACTGCGAATCTAAGTTGAATCCAGCTCTACAAAATGGTACCTGAAGCAAAACAAACAACTTGCTGGGAAGAAAGATATTAACGGTCAAACAGTGTATACATACTTTACGGATACCCTGTATTTGGCGTATTTGGCTAATTCTAACTTTGCAAAACATCAGATGCTGAACAGTTTAGACACCATTCGATGCATCTTTTTCTCCTCTTTTTGACAGCTACCTTTTCTTCGCGAAACATGCGACTTTGCATAGAAAATCGCTGTAAATTCCAATTTCACGGGTGCGCAAGGGTATACTCGAAATTCCTCGAAATTCCACAATCAATCCATTTTCACGCCGTAGTCGCTTATTTACTTCGTAATACTAGTGATAGTATTAATCAAGTTTTAGAACTTCAATATTATGAGGACTTCGCAGTGTTTGATGCAATTATGTGTCCACGCGATTTTTTCAAAATTTAAAGCTCTGGTGAAATAATTCAGCAAAATTTAAAGAGGAAGATGAAAAAATGCAAAAAATTGCATTAATTTGAAAAAGGAGGTTATAAAAGCACCTTTAAAGGTCTAAAAATATTGAAAATTAGCGAAACTTAGACATGGTAAAAAAATAAAGGGTTTTAGTTTTCGGCAATTATTCCAGCGCTCTTCGAAGCGGTCACAACTAGACATAGCCGCTGGAAAGAGGAAGAAATTCTGCATCGGATGCTAAAATGATTTGTCTATCTTTATTTTAAACGATTTTAGAATAGGTCTAGAAAAGGGCATGAACTTTCGGACCCACCTAATACATCACAAACACTTCAAAGGGAACTCAATCAACACAAATCTGGGCTGTTGGAAGGGGTGGATCAAAAGATTACTTTACTGCTTGCTCCAAATTTTATTGCAAGTTTCAGGTATTTAACAGCATAACTTCACTTGACCGAAACCAAAATGATTTTTTTTCCTGCTCTATTTATCGCAAAAACAAAGGCTATGATTTTATGTTATATTGAAACTGAGATTATGCGGTTGTTTTTATGATAGCTCAAAAAAACGAAGAAGTTTTGGAACAACCCAATACTTATCGGCTGTGAATTACGGTCCTTTTAGTGTGTGTATCTCTTTGACCCTTTCACTGCTTGTCTAAAAAGAAGCATGTTATAAACAATTCGCGATCTCTTATGTACACGCTCGTTAGTGATAAATACTAACAAGGGTCCCAAACAGCGTGCAAATGCTAGCTCAGATGATAACTAACCAAAAGAAAACATACAGCAGCATTAATTCTAGCAGTCACAAAAACTGGAATTTCATGTCGTTATTAATATAACTATTTATGATCGATCAAAATCATAACAATTGAAGATGCAAAAAAACGCGTGTTCTGATACAGAAAAAATTCAATAAAATCAAAGTTTTTTGATACGTGGAAGTGCATGAACAGCGCTCCAGACAAAAAGGAGAAAATGCAAAAATTATGGGAGCGGACGCTGAAGATGATCCGACAAGTCATCACGTGAGGCATAATAAGTGGAGGATGACGAAATTTTTGTTGAGCCACTGCCTGCAGGTAGGAATTTTTTTAAAAGTCGCAAACGTGAAACAATCTCACTCAAACCAAATGGCACATTTGGCATTTTATCGAGTTCAAAGACAAGTAAGCAACTTCGAAAAAAAATCGACGATCAGTACACGCAGTTTTACCCATTGCTTAAGTCCGAATCGGCAGGATTACTGAAAGTGCTTAGTAAACATTTCAAAACTGCCCAGTGCAAGTTGATTTAAAAGTGGACAGATTAGTAAGCTTTGGCTTGCATAAATTGGTAGGAAAGACAAGAGGGATCGTTAATTGTCACGCATTATCTCCAAACATTTTTGAAGCTCTGACATAAGGTCATTATTCTCACTCGCCTGTTATTCAAAATGGCATAAAATCAACGACCAAGCGACGAAAGCAGTTCACAAATTTTCGTTTGGTAGGTAGGCATTGCGTATGTATAAGTTATACACTGAAAGATGCAAATCTGTAACCTAGATTTCCAAAAGGCGTCTGCAGCATGCTGCGACTATTGGAGTTCAATGAAAATGCATCGACAGTTTTGCGAACTTAAACCTTCTCTATAATCCCTTTACAATCATGCCATTGAGTTTAGCTTTGTTAGATATCAATGTAGAACTTTCAGATAGTTATATGCATTCAGTATTGAAGATAGTTTTTAGTTTTATTCTGTTACATATACTCTTGTGCACGTTCTATTTCTATGCAAGCCATCAGCTCACTCCATCAACGAAGACGATTGTTCTGTGAGTTTGTTGTCAGTTAAGAAATTTAAGTGACGACGAAGACTTTGCATGGTTTAACACAAAAGCAAAGACAGTTTTCTTTGCATTCACAGAAAAACGTCGAAGAGTAACATTTGGCTACGCAAAGTTTAATCAGGCGAATACTGCAAAAAGAATAGAAGATCTGTGAATTTGACCACTGTTGTGTAATTTGCACCCAACTGTAGTGATACCACAGCATTTCCGCGCTGTTTAGTTGTTCAGTGCCACATTTAGGGCTTTATACGCTTTGAACATACGTAAGCAATAAACATTTCATAACAGTTTTCATGATCGATTATCAGAGAACTGTTTCTGGCACTGTTTTCGAAAACACAGAACGGAGTATGGGGGTACCAATCCCGGTAAAGCCCCAAGCTCGAGAGGTTAAATGGTTAAATTGTATGTAGCGAAAGGTCAAGGAGTTTAATCTTTACTCACTCACCCTATAATCTTAATTTAGCTCTGCATTCTGAGCCTCAATGGAGTTTCAGAATGGATTTTACAAATAATTGCTCAGAGTGCAGTGCCAACTAGGTTTTCCAGTTGATTTTACATACGGCGCAGATTGCTCTTGTCAATCTTGAAAGAACTAATCACGATCTTTTCCGTTTAACTTCATCGTGGAGACTTTCTTGCAGAGAAAAACATCACAGTGTTGACACTTCTAACTCCAGTTTTTTCATTTATAGAGTGTATTCAGAAATAAGGTATGCGAAGAATTTATGTGAAGTCTGCACGTGTGAGTTTTGCCTTATTTCAGCGACGGATACACCATAATTCGTGCTCTATCAGTCAATCAGTGTTTGCATACAAACACCGTCATTAATGGATTTATCGATGATCAGGAAATAGCACTGAAACCTCATTTTATCGGAGATGGAAAATCGTGCCCTACAAAGTTTGCTCCTGGCTGTTTATACGGCTCATATATGTTTGTCGGCGTTTTGGATAGTGCAGCATATAACAGCGGCCATGTAAGTTTATAAGTAAGAAAATTTGCTTCACTTATAACAAAGCTGCTCCAGTAGCTTTTTGCTTTATGAATATTTACTAGATTATCAGGTAATGCGTTTGTTCCCAAAAGTTTTCCTTTTCAATTTAACGCAAAAGTGTAGTCATTAGATTGTTCTGTGCTAAAATCTGATACAGTCTAGTTTTTATCAAATAGCGCACTCTTGAAAATCTAGCAAAGATTCAAAGCAGAAAGAAAGAGCGCAAATTATTCATATATTCAGTTAAACCAAGCACAGCAAATCAAACTTGTCGACATTGCATTTAAAAAGTTGGTTGAGTGATAAATCATTAGTGAATGAAAATCGCGAATTGATAAAAGGCCATAACCAGTGTGATTTGGGCTCATTGACTGAGGTTGCATTCTAAGTAATCAACGTATTCAAAATAATTGTTCATTTTTGCCAGGAGTTCCTATGTTAGCATACCACCTCCAATCAAGCACTTCATTCATTGATGATCTTCAGATAAATCTAACAAGAGGAAAGAGGAATGTGACTGTGCCATTACAACGCGTGCTACCCAAAGAAAAGGAAAAGCTTACTTTTTGCGTGCCGCCTTTTTATTGGTAAGTCGAAAGATTTTTATTCTCCAGCTTAATTTGTGTCGTAGCACGTACACTTTACCCCTTAAAATTTGACAGATTTGGCTGAAACTTAGCATAGAAGGGTTATCCGACATTCTGATCACGAAAACGAAAAGAAAGTATGAAGCTGAGTACTAACGTCTTTCTGTAAGATTACTGTATATTTTCGATATAGGGTCTCACACTCAACAGCAAGAGAGGCGATTCAAATATGAATATGATATTCGGTTTGCAAGTCAAAGAAACCTTACTACGTGAAGTCTCGGCAAATTTTGAGGCTCTGATTTCTTAATCATTGACGGCTGTCTCCAGCCGCCTTGTGTATAGCGACCTGTTTTTTTTTTGTGAGGGCGCCAAATCTCAACATGCCCCTAAGTTTTTTTTACGGATCCGAATCAAACTCTAGCAACAATTCGTACACAGTTCTGGATTATTTGTGCATGGTCTAGGCTGCAAACCGCTTCATTTGGGCTTACAACCCCAAAAGTCCTTGAATTCGTTGTTTCCGAAAAAATGCCTGAATTCCTTCTAGTTCGCGTTCAAAGACTAAACAGTCTGTGTGCAGTTGTATAACGCACTACGCTGCATATTGCCGGACTTTGAGTGAGCCACATCCAGAATGAGTGAATTTGTGAAAGAAGTTACAAAACTTAGTTTCCTGCCTAGTACAAGTATAAGGCTAAATTTTTTCGTGATAAGCTACAGTTGGTAACAATGCTTTGAAATGCAGCTATATTTTGACCAATGATTGCGAGATAAGAGCGTTCTAATTAGGAGAGGATACATAATACAGACATTGGCGATTTGTGAAGTAGTGTACAGTCTTTTTCAACTGATTGTGAAAGTAGGCGAAACATTCCAAGTGGAGCAGGGCGTCCGCGCCGCCACTGGCTCAACGAAATAGGTTAGAATGAAGAGACGCAAGTTGCAAAGTGGCGTGAATCGTTGCGAAGCGGACTCCCGCCAGGCCAATTTCTGAATTAAACAGATGAAACAAACTTACTGTACAAGATGCGCCGTGTATTGTTAGGTGCTAAACGAACTAAAATCGGCGACGTGTTTAGCATGACTTTGCTTTCTTGATTCTGAGCTACTGTAAGTCGGTTAGATGGTAGGTTATGTATGTTTTGTTTTCGATGAAAGATTAATCAATAACTAAAATGCGATTGGCGGGTGAATTTTTTTGTCCAATTGTTTTGAGTCTGAAAGGCTCCTCGTTACTTACAGCTTTCTATGACATGACAAAGCCGAATTACACTGTTTTTTAGCTGTTTTAAAGACGCCATTTTTTGGCGCCTACAGTATGTTGCCTAATCATCTCTGGACGATGATAACGTGTATGCACTTCAACTCCGCTTAACGATTACTTCGGGAATGTTTTAACAATAAGAAGCGCCAAAAAATAGAGGAAAATCAGAACTGAAATCCCCCTAACAACCGAAGCCACTATTCACCATGTCAAATTGACATTTACTTCTCCTGCCTATTTTGGCTATCACAGGCACTCGTAAGGTGTGAGAAAAACTTCCTTTATAACTCCTTCAGAATGGTCGTTCAACAGATTTGAAATGCAGATCCGAGACCGCCGTTCAAATTATTCAATTATGTCATATTCCTCTACAAAAATTGTTCTAGGCAAAATGTTTTCCACTTTTCGCCACTGCCATGTCGCATATATCGCTTGTAAATTGTTACACATTTGTGCCCTACGAGCATGCCTTGTTTATTTTGATTCAAACGTTTTCTAAAACTTTTTTCATTTTATAAATAATTTTCTAACTGTTTTAGGTAAATTTTCTAACAGTTTTAGGTACTCGAATTGGCCGAAAATAATTTTTGCCTTAGAAATGTGGAAAGCACAAGGTGTGGATCACATTATCGTCTACCACCATTCATCTACAAAGAACGTCTATCACGTACTTACTCGTTACCAAGCTGAGGTAATTTGAATTGGCGCAAAGTTAATATCTGTACTATGCTGCCAAGCTATGTGAATACAGAAATTACGAGTGGAAGGCTGTTGGATAGAATGAAGCAAGCCCTACAAAGTGGCTTTAACACATTCACGACAATACGACCCACCTATGGGTCGTACGTGTTCTGCCATTTCGGACAATACGACCCACCGGTGGGTCGTATGCTTTCTGAAGTATTTGATTTTGCTAGTTCACGGTGAAACTTTTTAGACAAGCCGAGTAAACTTCTGCATACACCTCTTAGAGTACTTCCCAAAGATTAACACTTCAGACCACAGGGCCCATCAGTGACCTAAAAATATTCCGCAAACTCAGTTTTGCGAAATATGCTCTGGTCCGAAATGGCAGTCAGCAAAAAATCGGCCCTGTCGTGAATGTGTTAAGAATTATCTAAATCGTTGAAACATGCAAATTTTAAAGCCAAAATTTGTCAACATTTCAACCGGATCTTTGCGCAAAGAAATTTCGAGAGCTTCCTAATTGTTGTCACAGTTAGACTTACGAGGAAGAGTTCCCAAGTCAGCTCGGCCAACCCGGATGAGTCATATATCTCCGTAACGGGCTTGAAACGCTTATTCCAAATCTGCTTTCCCTTTCTGCGGAGCGGCTTTCCGAGAGAAGTTATGAGCGTTTAAAAGCCTAAATTTGTCATGTTTTAAGTGGCTTAAAATTGCGAAACCTGTACAATAACAAATGAAAGTGATTTATCAGTTTTGTATCAAGTATATTGATTACAAGGACGGAGCACAGATAATGAAATTCTGTTAGGTGTTGTTTTACAGCTTTCAACTGATTTTAAGCCACTTTGAACATGCAAATTTAGACATTTAAACGCTCATAACTTTCCTCGGAAAGCTGCTCCGCAGAAAAGGAAAGCAGATTTGGAATCAGCGTTTCAAGCTCGTTATGGTGATATATCACCCATGCGGGTTGGCCGAGCTGACTTGAAAACTTTCCCTTGTTAGTAACATTCGTTATACATTATACATCCCCTGTAATCTTCTCCCGCCTAGGACATGAGAAAAAAATTAAAAATTCGCCCCAATTCCCTATTTCTCCCTTGCGTATTATAGGCTTCGTAAGCATGGCTGCAAAATTTCAGGTGATAGTTGCTTCGGCTTTTAGGAGAAGTTACTATCAACGTTACCACTCTATAGGCTATGGACATTAATTTTGCGCCAACCTATATCTATGTATATTTTCTAATATTATATCTATGTCATGACAAATGAAGTCGCGCTCACTTCATAATTTGGGCTTTGAATTTTCGTTTACAGTTTGCTCATCCCTAAACCTGACGGCAATAATGATTTCTTTTGCAAAAACTTCTAAACCAAACAAGAATTAGCATTAGGATATGCATACAGTTGTCTTCCAAACTGAACCTCATCATAGCCGCAAAAAAATCTAAATAATCTCAGAAATTCCAGTACATATTAACTTTTCGGCCTTTAGGCTTCATACTCATGACTTCGGAATTTCCATTAGAATGGCAGCTAACCTCTGCTTGTGAATGTTTCAAAACTTTCCTCTTCCAGAATTGCGCACTGATATGTAGGTTTTGCTGTGGTACAAATATAGAAATCGTCGGCCAAATGTCTGACAATACATGTAAGAGCTTTAAGTATACGGAAGACAATTTATGACAAGTGGAAATTACAATTGTTAAAGATTCTGATAAAGCTTAGTCTAAGGTCGCTAACGCTTCTTATCAACATATCGGTGACAAATTTTCGAGTGTGAAACTGAATATGACTTCGAGCTCAGCAAGTCAAATAACTTCACTGTGTTATCGGCGGATTCTGACATTATAATTTACTGGCATTAATGAATTTTAATGCAGCGCTGACGCATGCGGCCCCTTCGACTTTAGAAAGGCGTCTGGTCTCATTTTTTTGGTGACACTTAGGCTGGGTTCATACTGAATCCCATGTCCCGGAACTGTTTCCGTACAGTCCCCGCACTGTGCCGGAACTGTTTGGGAACTGTGCCGCATGCTTTTCGGCCGCCTCGCACACATTTTGAACTGCGGGAGTTGGAGAGTGACCGTTTTCAACGGGTTTTCTTCCAGATTTCTCTCATTTTGGCCTTACTCCTCTACCCGGCTTCCCTTCTTGACCAGCAGAAGCCCGTCGTATGCGACAAAACGTGTGTTTCTGTGCTAGTCCATTCTCTCTTCACTGTTTTTGTTAAGACCTATCTCGTATGTTCTACAGACCTGTCTATGTCCCTTTCAATACAGATGCGAGACTACGTAGTGCCTTCCTAGAACACATGGAGTAGGTCTGAACAAAAATATCGATGAGAGAATGGACGAGCGCACGAAGGCCCATTTGCCTTGATTGGAGCAGAACAGCTTTCAATCCTCAAACACGCTTGTTCACAGCTTTTCTCATCACAAAGAGAAGCGGAGTAGAAGAAAGAACGGAGAAGCAACGATATGGAAAAAGGAAAGGAATGCCTAAAAACGAAACTTTTCAGAAAACAAGAAAAAAGTCCCAAATTATGCAAATTCAATTTCGCTCGAACTCCCTAATTTATGGCAGACGGCTATGAAGATTAGGCAGCGGCTTCCTGGAACAAAGCGAAGAGAAAATGCACAAGAACACACGTTTTGTCGCATACGCAGAGCAGAAAAGCGCTATTCTCTAACTCCGTTTCGAGTTCGAAACTCTGTTAATCAAGAAGGGGAACGAATAGAGGAATAAGGCCAAAATAAGAGGAATCTGAAAGAAAAACCGCTAAAACGGTTAAAATTCTCCAACTCCCGCCATTCAAAACGCGTGCGGAGCGGATGCAGCGCATGCACACAGTTCCGAAACAGTTCCAGCACAGTGCTCGTACTCAGACAATTGCATCGGGAAGTTCGCGGGTGCTTGCTCGACCACCAATCATCCATGCCGCGAGCTGCCCGGTATAAACCGATATTGGACCCGGTAAGTGACCGCCGGCGCATCCTGTAAGCGCCCGATGGTTGACCCGATTAGCATGCTTGTACGGCCTAGGAAGAGTGAAAAAATTTTGGCCTGCCTTTCATGACAATGACTGATTACAAATTGAGCAACTTGTTAGCTCATCTGTCGACATCATCTGCTGTCGTCGATGACACTCAATGCTGGCTGAAGTTTGTTTTGTGAGCATATACACTCAACTGTCACAAAACCCAACCCGAGAAGCGATTACCAGCCCCACAAACACTTTGGGTAGCCCCGCCGCTGCGGCGTACCTCACGCGGGTTACGCCTTAAGCTACAGCGTGTAAGAAGTGCGGCCTTCGATAAGGCCCGCGGCACGCCGAGTGAGGTGATTGGGCCGCGACTCTCCCGATAAGCTCTTTCCAATTTTAACTTTGGCCGCGGCGTTCCCGGTAAAATATACATGGGCCGCGGCGTGCGCGGCTGAAATTTTAAGTCCCATGTAGCACGCTTTGAGGCCGCGAACTTTCCGATGCAATTGTCTGAGTAGTGATTCCCATGTTCCGGAACTGTGCGGGAAAAGTTCCGGAACATGGGAATCAGTATGAACCCAGCCTTAACGTATAGTTTTGACTCCGTGCACTTATTCGAAATGGTGCAACTTCATTATTGCAAATCCTTAAATGTACACTTTTGTAGCATACATCAAAGACGACTTAATTCCAGAATTTGTCTGCGCCATATATAAGAGAAAGGGATTGAGCTGCAGAGCCATTTGGTAGTTACCTAGTAGTGTTTACTTATGGCAATTTTGAGCAGCTCAGCGTCAAGTAGTTTGCGACAGCTCAAGTTTCGCTTCAGCAATGATGTATGAAAGTAATGAGAATTTTGTTAGTAGGTTACAAATGAAAATTGCAACCCATCGGATTTAGCATTTTGGTAACTCACTGGTTTGGCACTGTTGTGTTAGATAATAGATTTAGTTTCAAAATGTTCTCAATGATTACGAAATAAGGATCATGACTCTGAATGAAAAACGGTTTTTCACATAATTACACGCAATAAAAATTAGTCAAAAAGTGACAATGTTGATATTAAGCTTAACAGTATAAAACTATGATATAGTTGCCTGAAATGGTGACCTTAATCAATAAGAAGTGTTAGAAGAAGTACGGTTTTGTTGATGCCATTCCCACATCAGATTGAGCTTGTCAGATCTTTATCAAATAAACCCATTGAGTTTGCAGTGAAGAATGATGATTTATACAACATTGTGGAAGGAATAAGTAAGGAAGTCAGCAATTGTTTCAAGGCGCTTATATCGAGTAACACATGTTTCAGGGATACATTACGATTGTTCCGTGGCCTTCGCTCCCTCGTAGCGCATTTGAAGATCCTAATGAATCCGTTTACCGAGTTGCTCATTCGCTAGCAAACAACGACTGTTTGATGCGCCTATCCTCAGAGTTTGGAGCTGTCATCGATGTAGATGAGATCATCGTTCCAAGGTTTTGAATCCCATCGGTACCCTCGCTTCTATCGGTATGGCATCGATTTGAAAACACATTTTATAGGAATGGCACGCTTCTGTCTTTTATAATTGAGAGCTTTGCAAAAACATCAGCAGGTGCCTTAATGTTCCTGCACCGAGCTCTTTCCTTCAATCCATCCTATGCTGAACGAAATTTCACTTATAAAGAGCTGAACTTCTTTGGGATTTGGAATGCTAACGAGCTTGAGTGCAAGGGTCCACCAAAGGTGAGCGTTCGCTCACTATTTTACGTTTATACTCAAGTTAACAAAAGCAGACCAAAAAGGAGAAAGGAAAGAGATGCTGAGTGTGTGTAGCTAGTTTTATGGATGGTTTTTTCTACTGTTACCTACCCCAGATTTTTTTCGTCTCTTTTTTTTATTTGTTAAAGCGAACAACCAGCGAAATTATAGGTCGTCTTCCGAACGGAAGATGTGGAGTCAGTTTACACCCATAACATAAACCAGTTCAAAAGAAACTCGTCCGTTGCAAAGGTAAGCTCAGATTTGAACACTTTACCCCGTCTTACAATGTAAAATTGCGAAAAATTTGCAACCGCAACTATAATTTTGTCCCATCCTTCTATCTTTTCAATTCACTGCCACGCACTCTAATATCTTGTGGAATGGAGTTCAGAATTTTTTTTCGGTAGCGGAAAGCGGTCTTTATAAGAGGTATTTGAACTTTGGCACTAAGTCTTTCGAACGAAAACTTCGAAGCCAAAATCCAAAATTCTAAATGCTTTGAATTCGAACGGGGAGTTTTCGTTTGGAGAAATTTGCTGCTGTTTTCATCTTCAAAAACGATGAAATGAATTGCGGCACGCTTCTGCCAATGCAGTGAAGTTCTTAAGGCAATCTGTTGTAAAACCTTTGCAGGTATAACCATAATTTTTAGCCTTCCGAAAGCCAGTTTCGAGGAAATAACAAAGTTCACATGAAAAATCCAAAAAAGCCTCAATTTGAAATTTTAGTCTGTTTTTGTTTTACAGCTTCATGCAAATGGGAAAATACTCAAAGTGTATAGGATAGATCTGAAAACAGGGACGCTGCGCCGAGATTTGGTTGTAAAATCTGCACAGGACATATAACCTTTGATTCAACTGGCTTGGCTTTGGGAAGGTGGAACTTTGTGACCTAATTCCGCTCGCGCTCGCGACGCACCTGGGTCTCTCTCTCGCGAGTGCTCTCTGATTATTACCTAGCTTTATTTAGGACACAAAGCTGCGCCTTCTCAAAGCCAAGCCAATTGATTTAAATGGTAATTTGTATCCCAGCACCTCCGCGACGCAACCGCAGCGCGCGGAATTGCATTCAATTTCTTTCTCCCTTCACTCTCTATGAATGGTTTTTTGCACCTTTCTCCCATTCTTCTTGCTCTTGAACCTCTTCACCTTAAGGACCGGCCATACTCTTTCAGGAGGTGGTTTCTACGATTCCTGCAATTCCTGCAGTTTCTGTGATTCATCTACTTCCGATGTGCCGCACGACGGGTCGTTATGAGACTTTCAGCATACATTGTTTTTTCGCAATATACATTGTTGCGGGACGCGCAGAAATCACAGGAATCGTAGGAACTGCAGGAGTCGCAGGAACACTGTGGCCGGTCTCTTAGATGTGAGCGCACGACAATAGGTGGTCATAAGCTATGACAATGACATAATAGTCCGAAAGCTTTTGCACGAATCTTTCTGTTTTCTCCGAAAAGTGGATGTTTGAGTCATCTTTACGGAATAATTTTCGAGCTGTTCTGCAAAATAGTTGCGTCTATTGGTCTCTGTAAAATAAAAGCGTTTTTAGGTTAATATAAAGCCTATTAAGAAGCCGTTAGAGGCTTTGTACTTGAGCCAACTTTTCAATTCTCTCCTTTCATCATGGACGGTTTTAAGATTAGAACTTGTTCTTTGGCTACTGCTCCTTAATATCATATCATTCACCCATCAAAGTTTCAACCTTGCATTAAGTAGAATTTGTGTTTTGTACGAACATCTTCGACTTCCATGGCTTCTCTCGGGCCTAGGAGGTTTCTAATTTCCAAATTCCGTCATATCTGTTAGTAGATTTGCTTCGCTGTTTACAAGCAAGATGAGGACATGCCGAGCGCGCGCTGCGTATGCGTCGCGGAGGAGTTGTAGGGAACTGGCCTGGACACACATTATAACTAGGTTTGTTCTACCGCTAATTCTCCCGAAACGCCTGTAGTTCAGGCATGTACATATAGAAAGCGCTCTGCCCGCGTGTGATAAATAAGCTCAAACTTGTTTTTCTCTTTTCATCAGCATTAAGTATCTAATGGATATACAGCACAAGCATTAACTTGTGCTTAGCTATACTTGTCGATCTCAAATGCGCAAAGCATTCTCCACTTTCTTACCTCTAGAACGATGAAAATTATTTTGAAACATAGAATTAAAAGTTTCTTTAGGTTAGATTAGAAGACGCTGCACTTTTACATCACCGATATAACGTCGGAATAGAGAGAGTATGCAAAAGTCTGGGAAACATTGACCTGTTGCCAACAAAATCAGATTTCATTAGTCTCCAAAACATTCTCAACTATCGCAAGCGTACTATCTTTCCGGATATGGCTAACTTTCACTTCAGCACACAGGTGGAACTCGCGACCTGCTTGCAACAGTAAGATTTTGTAACTGCAAGTTTTTATTTCGAACGAAACGTGTAATTTAGGTGGCGATTAACGCAGCATGAGTGCATAACACCAATATCAAGCTGTGCCGACGTTATGCTGCCTTTGGAGGAATGGCAGTTTACGAAGCTTGATGAACAATTCCACACTCTATAGCTTTGCTTCAGAATCGTGCCATCAGGATACCTTTGTATAATGCGTTTTGAAATCAAAAGAATAGTGCAGAAAAGTGAACAGTTTCATATTTTCAGTCTAGATTGGTTTGTTTATCCTTATGCTTGAAAGGTGCTTGTAATAAAAATAAATCTCCTTGTTCAATACATACTTTCTCTCAAAGATATTAGGCTACTAGGTCAGCAAGGCTGGCACAAGCTGGCCGAAGACAGTTCGTAACGAAGTCATCGAAAAAAAAACACATACGATTTATGTGGTTACAATGAAAAAAGCAGAAAGGAGAAGAATATGTGAACTAATATTATGAGAATGCGCTCAACACACTAAACAAAAGGAGCGAAAAGAAGGGTTTATTAGCCGTTTGTTACTGATAATCAGGTTTCTACATGGAATTTATATAAACATGAAAAGCATTAATGAAAATTTATATAAGCATGAAAACTCGGAGCATGTAATCGTCGATATCAGTTCAATTTGTCCCCCTGTCATTCGCTGTTTGTTCGCCGTGATCGCTCAACTTATCAACAATTTTGCATTTCCGTGTTGCGCCATTTTGTCGGAGCATGACGGCCCTACTAACATGTAGGATGTAATTTAAACAACAGGTTTTTTTTACAATTAACACTATCTGTATGATCAATCTTTGCCGACCTAATTTCGGGCAGAGATTTCGTAGTTTATACGGCTTTGCTAACTAAGTGTTAGAATTTGTTCAACTATTGTTATATGAAGAAAAAATCCTTTTTCGAACATGCACCGCACATGCACCGTCGTTATATTACTTAGATTACAATCGTACAAGACCTTTGGAATGCCAAATTTTTTACGCTCATATCAAAACACTCTTCTAACTCTAATCTTAAGGTATTGATTTGTTTACCTCTTGTAAATTTTTACGTTACTATAATTTTCCTTCCTCTCTAACTTAGATTATGAAGTCAATATAATGAAAATTCTCAAATGACTGTAATCCTCCAAAAGTTCATAAAGGCAATAAATGACAATAAAAATCGTTGAACACTGCCAAATTGATGACTACTTTGAACGCATCAACAAACTTAGTTCAAAACTTTGACTTAGCTCTCGGATCTTCTTACCCTCATTTGGAAATGTGGCAGAGCAGTTTTAGAAAATTGACCACTTCCAAAGTTTTTTCTTGTAGAAATTTGAGCAAATTACTGAGTTAGCACGAAAGTTCGTTCGCACTTATTTCGAAAATTCATGACTTTCTTCTCTCTCTACTGTTTTTTTAAGAGAAATTCACGTTTTTTTCAAACAATGTCTGAAGCTCCTTTTCAAGAACCAAGCTCCGAAGATTGAAAAGGAGAGAAAATTACCCGCACTTGGAGTTACTGTGGTCTTGGTGGGACAGAACTTTCCGGCTAACCTAATATATCAGAAAAGTACTTGATAAACTTTTGATGCATTTTTGCTTGCCCTAGCTGAATCCAGAGAAATGTTCAATTAACGCTTTAATACTGGCAAAACTTTTTTTGTCATTTCAGTTGCTTAATCCTTGAACTATCTCATTTATCTAAAACTTCGAGAATCATTCAGATTAGACAGAGGAAAGTTTGAGCTTTGCGTGTAGAGCAGTTCGTGATTTTGTTGCACATGCCTTGTGAGGACTTGTAAAATGTTTGATATTTGAATTTGTTCGCAAAACGTTTGCTGATGAGCTGGAAAAGCTTCGTTTTTCTTTAGCAATGGTTTTAATAACGCAGCAAATCACAGCAAGTTAATTTCACTGCATTGCGATAGCTTACACCACCAATAATCTACCAAAATCTCAAACTGTAAATCTCAACAAAACTTTTTTTTCTTTTAAAAAATCTGCAGCTTCGAAAGTCTTTCATAACTTCCAAAATTTGTGCTAGTCTTTCTTTAAAAACCAGAGAAGATGTCCAAGCACTCTTTCCAAATTCCACCTAACGGAAATCGAATCATTTTTGCGATGCATTATGGCTTCCTACACGGTGGATCCACCAGCGCCTTACTATGTGATTCTGTGTACGACTGGATTTCAGCTTCCAGTAGTGGGAAACCAGTCGAAATTATCTTCTTCGAATCTAAAGCTTTTTACATAGTCGATCACTGTAAATCACTCCTAAAACTCAAAAACTATGGCATACGCGGTTAAGTCTTGTCCCGGTTAGCCTTATTTTAATTTGCTCGAGATATGACGAACCGAGTTAAGAATCCCTACCTCTGAGCGACGTCAATATAAGGGATGAGCATCGCAAGGAGTCATATTGTCACCGCTGCTATTCCCTTCTACACTGTGGGGGGGGGGAGAGAAGGGAAAGGCGCCCATTACTTGTGGGTGTCAATTAGAAATTGCCGCGACGCGGCGTTACAGTAAATTGGGCGAGAGGCAGTAGGGACAGAGGAAATGTTTAGAGCTTACGTTGTTATAGTGAAAAAGAACATATTTTGTGACCAGATACGTAGTAATTCCCGTATTTCCATCCACTATTTTTTTCATATCGCAAGATTTGGGCCAAACTTCCACTAACAATGAAATTGGGGCGAGAGGCAGTAGGGACAGAGGAAATGTTTAGAGGTTACGTTGTTATAGTGAAAAAGAACATATTTTGTGACCAGATACGTGTTAATTCCCGTATTTCCATCCACTATCTTTTTCATTTTGCAGGATTTGGGGCCAAACTTCCACTAAACAATAAAATTCGATTGATAGTGTAAAAACCCCTACAAAAATTGAAATAGTATGCCTTGCAAATGGTCACCCAAGCTCTCCTCGCAAATGATTTGCCAGCCTGTCGGGCGCGGCGCCTGCGTAATTGACAGTCACAGGTAATGGGATACACCCTCTACATTGCTGTATTGCCCATTTTTCTAATTACACATCACGCGCTAAGATCAGGTGTTGCTGACGATGACAAAATATACTTCTATTATGAGAGCGAAAATCGCATTCAATTTTTAATGCCAATACGTTTGTGATGGTGTTCCACTTGAACACTATTCCTACACTAAGGATCTTGGGGTTATAATGCATGATCAAGTGAACTCACAACATTAGGCGCAGTCACTAGAAAAGCCTTATCCTGTTTTTTTTTCAATTTTGCGTAGTAATCACTGGATGCTGCGTTTTAGTTACACTTCACAAAACGTATGTTGTCTCGATTAAAATACGCCTCACCCGTGTGAAATCCTTTTCTGAATAGAGGCATCAAAACTTTTACCCGAATTGTCTTTTATAGATGCTTTAAGTTTTAATTATCCCCACACTTTATCGCCGCATCATACGAGGCTATCCACCGAAAAGTGGGCAGTCTAATATCGGCGAATTTGGTAACCTAAAGTTTTCCTTTTGCTTGATCGTTAAGAGACAAGATTAAAACTTAGTAAATATAAGATTTTTAGACTTTGTGGGACGCGAACATATGTAAAACGTGTTATCGTAAAAATACAAAGCAGAGTTTTTACCATTACCTTAATTATGCTTCGGACATCAAAACGGCTTTATCTACTTTCAATAGTAACTCAGCAAATTTTTGAAAGAAACTGGCCCAATTGATGGTCTGGAGGCTCAAACATTCCGAATGCTTAGGATCTCAACAAATCAGTTACGGGTCGTCGGCATGTGTCCTGCGCCCCCACATCATTACCTTGTCTCTTCTAGTTTCTTCCAGTTCCTGCAAACCTACAGGATACAATGTTCTTAAAATTAGAGCGTAATAAATGTATTTTCTTCATTTAGATTTTGTTATTTTTTAATGCTTCTGTTGTGCGCTGCATGCTTCCGCATCCTGCTCACACATTAGTTCTTTTTGACGGGCTAGCCGCTCGAAGATTTCGCGGTCTAGTGACCTCCTCCTTGAGGTCCTCCTTGACTACATATCCGCCCAGAGACCTTAACCGATTCGTGCGTGTCGGGTTAAGCTGGTCAAAGTTCTGGTCGACCTCAGAGGAGACAATATTTAATTCAAACGAAAATCACCTTACGAATGATTTGATCTATCTATATCATGATTCTGCTCTTACATCTACATTTTGATGGCGTTAATTGATGCACTAGCTCACTATTAATAAATAAGTAATTGACAATAAACATATCTTTTTTATTCTAAAGCCAAATGTTTGAACGATCATGTAGAACTGGACTGATTATTTTTAGCTTTCCCAATAACTACTATTGTCTAATTTATTTCTGCTTATTCTCAGCTTCTAAAAGCTTTTTCTGAATTACTTTTCTCATCATCAGCTTTACTCTTTTCAGCGCCGAAAAATACGCCGGAAATGTTCTCAAATGTCTTGATTTTTTAGATGCTGAATTCTCAAAATTTGGAGTGATGCGACTATAGTATACTATTATATACGTATGGTAAGTGTTTGCTACAAACAACGCTTGCCATAAAATTTCAATTCAAATAAACTGACACTGAAGTTCATGTTAGCTTGAAATTCGCATACTGCAACTTCAGTTTTTAGACCTGTGATAAGCAGTGTCGCGCACAATAATTTTCAAGTTTTATTCTTATAGTATCGGACATTATTTGCATCCTAAATGTTGCCGTCAATCGAAGTTTTAAAAATTAAGTCATTAAGTAGTGTTTGCATGCCATCAACATATCAAATGCTGTTCTGGTATATGTCAACGTACAATCTCCATCCAAGGCGGCTCCGAATTTCGTCCATTTAAGCCACATGATTAAACTTCACTGCAGGGGAGGGGATCGCAGCCCAAAAGAAAGCGTCATATTCTGGAGCTCTAGATATTTGAATCTCACGTTATCTATCTGCCCGTAAGCACTTTTACTATCTTTTACTGTAAACACATTAAACAGGAGCGAGAAGTTGTACAAGGTGCATTTTCCAGCTTTTTGTCCGATCCCCTGGTAATCTCCGGCTATCGACCATTTTTTCTTCAAAGTCATTTTTCTTTCTTCAAAATAAATGAGGACGTGTCAAAGCCGTACTGGTTATTTAAACTAAACCTTCGGACGAACTTGAACTAACGAATTATTGAGATACCGGGACTTCCGATAAACCCCAACTTTTGACATGTGGTTCATCGCAAATTTCATGATATTAATACATCATGTGTTCTGATCAGAAACATGCTTAGCGCTGCTTTTAGAGAGTCAGCAAAACCTTCGGTTCGTCTTTATTAACTTCAAAGCAAGAAAAATGACTCTAGAGAAAGGACGGTTGGCCGCCGAGGATTATCAGGAGACCGCTAGCTGGGTCGGTAGTAATCTGGTCGAAACTCTGAGCTCAAAGCCCCGCGTTAACTCAGAGATAACTTTGAGTTTAGAGGTGCTATAGGTGGAGCCGGGCCTCTCAAAAGTAAAGATGGTTCCAGCTACCACCGGCCTGGCCAAAAGTGAAGGTGATAGTGCCGGACACTCACCTTCCAAAAACGTCGACCGGGGGGGGGGGGGAGGGGGAGGGGAGGAAGAAGCACAGCTCGACTTATCTATTTCCAGAAAATTCTTTTCTCAAAAGTTTCATTAACTTCTTTATAATAAAAAGAAGAAACAAGAAGAACAAATTCAGCAGTTACTCAAACCTATTTTCTCGTTCAAACTACTTTTGAAAAATCGCCATCGATTGAAACTCAGCTATACTTTACGGATTTTATTAAATAAAATTTGTCATAACGTACTGCGAAGAAAGTAGATCGATCCAGGGAGTAACCGCCAAGAACCAGAATTTTGTGTGATAAAGTAACGAAAAGTCATGCAAGATTTTCACCATTATAAATCTGGTGTTTGAAGATGTCAGCAATACTTCATAGATTCTCAAGAGTAAGTGCACCTCTAACACATAGTGAAAGAAGCGGGTCAATTTCGGAGGAAGTCGCCGAAAACCAGAATTCTAAAAAATTACGCCATTTTAGCGTGTTTAGTGACAGCTGACAGTTAAACACATATAAATCTTGAATGGAAAAGTGTGTGATGTTGCTACTTTAAAGGTTTTGAAGAGTAAGAACTGCCTTATTAAAATATATCTTAGCTGTACTGATCAAGTCGATACCGCGGAAATTCAGGGTTTTGAATAAGCAGGTAAAAAAGCGTTTCCTGAAATTCAACAGCTCATAACTTCTTCAGAACTGCATGAATCATGTTGCGACATCATAGGTTGGATTTCCCTCTTCAAGAGCTTCTAGAAGATATATAATATGTGAGGGGTTTGGTGATTTGCGACTCTAATCCGGCCGCCAGTGGAGACTTTTCATCACAAAGTCTCCACTGGCGGCCTATAGCCAATACATTTACAGGGGCGAGGTGGAGACTTTGATATGAAAAGTTTCCACCCCGAGTTAGAACCGCAAAAATCATCAACCCCCTACATATTATAAATCAACTGAAAGCTCTTGAAGAGTGGAATCCAAACTATGAAGTCGTAACATGATTAAAGCACTTAAGAAGAAGTTATGACCTGTTAAACTTCAAAAAGCCGTTTTCCAATTGTTTTTTCAAGAGCCTGAATCTCGGCGGTATCTCAATGGATCAGTACGGATAAAATATATTCTAATAAGGCAATCCTTACTCTACAAAACTTATGAAGTTGCAACATCACACACTTTCATCATTCACTTTCATTTCTGTTGAATAGTGGTGCTTTATCGCAAGGATTGGTCTTTTGCGCAGCTGAAAGCTTCAAACAATAGGAGAGCGGATGACATATTAGAATTTGCGTTAGAATAAACTGCGGACAAAGTTCGTCCTTATTCGATGATTTGGCCCACCTCCAGTAAGTAAGCTTACCGTAATCACTCAAAGTGACGCTTGTATACGGAGCAGATAGATTGTCCGTGATCTGCGCCCTAAATAGCCCCAGTGCACCAAGTTTCAGCTATCTCCGCCTCTTTAACTCACCTACCGTAACCTTGCCAGATGCCACCTGTATAAAATGAATACCATATTCAGACCCAGCGCGCCGAGTAACGCCATCGATCCAAGTTTCGGCCAATTTTGTGATTTTCTCCTGTCTACCGCAAGCCTACCGTAACCCAACTTTATGACCCCAAGGTGAAAAATGAGTACCGTATTCGTGATTGGCGCACCGAATAACCCTCTGGGCCAAGATTTTAAAGAATTTCAAAACCTTATCAATCATAGCGCACCACGATACCTCCATCATGCCTGCTAAAACTACTACAATAAAAATGTATCCCAGAGGACTTTTTAGCTGCTCCCCTTTATTTCTGCGCTATTTCTCTTTCTCAACCGACTCAGAGTCTCTGAGTTTTATGGAAGACTGGAAGGTGCACAAAACTCAGAGTTAGCTCAGTTGAGCGTTTGATGGCGCTGTTTCATGTGCAGAGCGGTCTGTACAATTTGCAGGAATAAATTACCGGTCACGGAGTAGCTTGCCATATCATCGCTTTCCAAGTTTGGTCTGTTCAAGCAATTTGGTTTGTTAAGCAGAGATAACTCAGAGTTAACTCTGAGTATAACTCTGAGTTTGCTACCGATCCTGGAAAAGGAGGCTTGTAAAGCTTCTAGCTCCTATTCGGTATGTTTATAGTGAAGGATAGTAGGAATGCTTAGCAGGTAATTGGAGTTTCAGAATATGAAGCTTTCCTTCTTTCATGAAATAATTCAGGTAATTGAAGTCTCAGAACACGAAGCTTTCTTTCAAGCTGAGATTCCCTCATCTGCGGGGATGTTGATGCATACGACCCTTAAAATGCACCACTGTTCTTTTTCTTTTTTGCAATCATTCGCTTCTTCAGTTTTCAAAGGATGAGAAGACTAACTTTTATAGAGTTTAAGCACTTAGTCAATTAAGAAAGATACCTAACCATAAAACAAGGCAAACTTCATATTAGATTCTCGTATGAGACTACTGGACGAAAGTATCCGCCGTTGGTGGCATAATTCCAACTTACTACCGCGTAGGTACCTTTTGAAGCGCAAAATCTATAGCTGCTGTAAGACGCTGACCGTAGCGTAATGTGCTCATGCGGTGCTTGTACAAGAGTTAACCGCAACCTTCTTAACCTTGATAACATGTGCCCATTCAAAAAATTCTTCCTAGTTGAGCAATGCCGCGGGTGTCGTGCACCAAATAAGAATGAGTTCTGCTCTGACAGCCAATCACGTGGTTCTTAAACCTCCTTAATCACTTTCATCCGTCCTGACGTTGAAATGACGATAGAAAGGTATGGGAATGCGAAGTTGTGTTAGCTTTACTGATTACATAGGAAGAATGTCATTTCTGAAGAGCAGTGCGCTTTTTTCGAAATCCCAGCAACTTTCGATTGCATATTATGCGAATAATATAGTGAAATAGAAAGAAAATTCGAAGGGCATCAAAATTTGGATTTCTGGTGTGCGTGCCTACTCTATAACAGGATTGAGACTCATTTGTCAAAAAATGCGCTAAGTTCATCCAAACGCCTTCTATTGTATTTAGCAAAAAATTTTCGTCTAAGTCAACTTAGCGATGTAGTTTCGGATAATTTTAGATAATAGTAAATAGTACCAACTCTTACAATTATTTCGTTTCTCTTTGATTCAAACAAAGCCAAAAAAGATTTTTTGTTGGTGACAGTGTGTTGACATATACACAAAACGCAAAAAAAAATTTCTTCATCAGCAAGGCAAAAAATATGGTGATATTTATATCCAATTCATAATAATGCTACGCTGCAGTATGTACAGGTATTTTTAAACGGCTCGTTTCTATCAAGGACGTTCGCCTGGTCATGCAACAACTAGTGTGCCGATACTTCCGCTCAAATTGTCACTTTGCAATTAACTCAATTGTTAGTAGGATATCTTATGCAGCTAAACTCTGATATTGATTGAGATTACGAATACTTGTAGGTGATTCGATGCAAATGGCTACTTCTAATAGTTGGTTTGACAATTTTTTCTTTCCACATCTTACGCAGATTAACCCAAGTGAATGACGTAAGCCATTTCATCGTATGTACAACAAAGTGCGAAAACAAAGCACGAGATTTAAGACATTATTGGATAATAACAGCAACGACGAGGAATGCTTATGCTCCTACAAAAATCAAAGTTACGATTTTTGTTATCGTATCCCATACGATAAAAGCATCAAAGGCTCGAGATTCAACTGCAGCTATGCGTCAAACCTTGAAGAGCTAGGTTTGCAGTTCGTTTCTGATACAAATTGAAAAGTTATCACTTAAGGTCTGTTATCGCCCATAGATGTGGTTGATCTGAGCTCGCAAAAAATGCCGCAACCAGCGTTTATTGCGGCTATATCACAAAATCATTATTATGAAGGAAGAACAATGGTAACAATGGCGTACACGAAAATATATTTTAATCCATCATGAACGATGTATGTGACGGACTCTTGTTGCATGTTGCAGCTAGCCAATTTCCGTGCTATGTTTCCACATCAGAAGATTTTCGTTTACGATTTAGGTCTTCAACCAGAATTACGAAAAGAGATTGAGGTAAAAATTCACGTTTGCCTTGACCCTTTGGAAAGCATATTTTGCAGAGTAAGTGCTTAGTGGAGGTGCGCAATTTTCCATTTGATCATTATCACTCAAACATGAAGAGGTTGACGGAGTATAGATGGAAAGCTATTCTTGTAGCTGTCGGTTTCGTGACAAATAAATTAAGCGCTGTTAGAATACCTCAATGCATACTTACGTTTCTTAAGACGGCAGTACGAGAATTTGGTGCAGTTTGGTACATGGATACCTCCATACGTTGGATGAAAGATATTCGTCCTCTGGTATATGACGCTTATGGCAGGAGAAAAAGAAACGGCGGAAATTTTCCCAGGTCAGTGCCATGGTTTGAAAAAAAACAATGAGCACTATCTCAGCCAACTTTCGTTATAAATGTATCTAACTTCAACCTAGAAGTAAGCCGTCTTAGTTGAAATCAGAGTAGATTAGTAAATGCATGTACGTTTTATGTATGTTTTGAGCTGTAAAATACAATCATTTGATAAATATGTCCTTAATTCCAGCGCCGCAATGTTGCATTTGGCACTTCGCCGCAGCACATTCATCACTACTCACCCAGGTAAACAAATTCTCGTTTATGATGCCTTTGCTTGGACAGTGATCTAATGTCGCAAATTAACGACTTTACAGTATTACTGTAACAAAGCTGTAGCGCTTATGTGCACGTTCATATCGTGATAGTTGTTGAGTTCAGCTTCAACATTTTCACAATCGCAAATGGTAAACACAGTGCGCCAATTTTCGGTTAGAGCGTTTATTCTGTCTTTGCCTGTCTTTGCGCACGAATGCACTCAATGTTAAAATGCAAAACAATTTCAGTTGAAGTTTGATGCTTCTGTAGACATCTACATGAGTTACAAAATTCTCCTACTGGTCTATACTTTGTTTCGTAGAGTTTTTTGATGGAATTCTTTGTTCTTCATCCTTGCTTTTCCCCGTAAAAACAGCGTTGGCGGTTTAACATATTGATTTCCATTTGACCCGATCTGCTGCTATCAACGATATGAGAACGTGTAATTCGCTTTTCTAACAACGCTTTCCTCGGTCGCTAAACAACTACTCTCCTACATGACTGTTATCCTAAACATTGAACCGTATTTTCTACAATCGTGAGTCGATATAAAGAAATTAGTAAAGAATGGAAGATGTGATGCTGGCAGCTGATAAGAGTTTTTTTTTCAAAGTATAGTCGTATGAAACGTCGCTCAAAAACAACGGAATCCTTATCACAGGCATTGTTAAGATCAAAAAATATCATGCAACGACAAAAAACAAAAGAGAGACACACGTAAGTTTGAGCTGTGTTTTGAATTTTTATTCCAGTCGACGTGCCCCAATTCAAAGAGTTGACCACCGGGTGTCTATAGTGTGTTGAGGACGACTACATCTGCATTTTAAAATAACCTGCTGTAACTCAGACTAGATGTTTATTCGATACGGCTGTTGTAAAGCGATTCAAGTACGAAGACGAAAAGCTTGGCGAAAATCTTTGGAGAAACGATAGCAACTACCTTTCACTTTCAAATGTACAATAGTAAAGGTGCGATCAAGAAAGCAATACATCTATGCTTAGAAATTTGACTGAAATTCCACAAAAAACTGAGCATACTTCGAACTGGCTTAGTTGTTGAGATAAGGGTTGTCATAATTTTGCTACAAGTTATCGTGTGTAATTGGCAATGCGAGACTACGCACTTATTAGCATTATCGGAAATGGATATAAATTGCTCATGTTGTATATCTAACGTTCTCATTCAGGAACTTATACATTTCTTCCTACAAATATGAAAGAAATCAAGAAGAAGACCTGCCCGCACATGCAAAGCGGTTTCATGTTTTTTATAAGAACGAATGATGCTATTGAGATTTTGAAGTGGTAAGACTTGATTATGACTTAGGTTTCCGTCTGAAATGTGTTTTAGGTTTGTTCTTTGCAGTTTGGAAGAAAACTGCATAGCTCCTCTTGGAGCAAAAAGATCATGCGAATTTGCACACGATCGTTACGAAAAGTACGCTAACTGTCATAGGTAGGTTTGCTTTGCTATGACTGATGGAATAACTTTATGTGTTGTATTGACATATTTTATGCATATCTCGTGTTCTTTTTAGATTTGATCAATCTGTAGTTAATTTACTACTAGCAAACGCTTATCGATGCAACGTCTCAAACTACTTTAGCTCCATTGGGCGAGGCGTAAAAGCGATTCACAACGAAGACCATTACCTTAGAGAAATTGACTTTGCTTGCTCATACAAGAAAGTTACAACTTGAAAGTGCGTTTACAACGTGCGAAGCTTTTTATGTGACTGCAAGTCCACTCAGAGTTTGAACTAAGACTTTTAACGATTCCAGCACACCGCTAGTTCAAATTCCCAAAATAAAGTCGTATAGTTGTTGTAAATTATCAACATATGAATAAAGATGTTTCTATGTTACCATGTGTTGAAATACTAGTATCTATATGTGTATCATGTGCATTTCACATTGAAATAGCTGACGTATATGGCTTTGTTTGGCCCTTTTACTAACTATGATGAACATCGCGCTACTTTAAAACAACATGTCCCTTTCTGTTTCACTTTTACATGCCACCGACTGAAATAGACTCAACCAGCCCCCCCCCCCTCCTTATGCCAACATCTTTTGGGTTTTTGCAGACGGAGTCTCGATTTTCGAAAGCTTCATAAATCTACAATCCGCCACAAGGTGACGAGAACTCCAAAAAGGCAAGAGATGACATGCGGGCAGGCTATATATGGATTTGGTGGTGAAAACCAAAGTAATTCTTTTTTGTGTTTACTAAAAAAACGACGAATGTATGTATACTAGTGGAAAACAGGTTTTCTCAAGATAAGCTTCAATGCATATTGAATTGGCAAAAGAATGAGAGTTTCTCTTGCTGCAGCCGCATATTGAACAGAAGATGGGGCACTTGGCGATACGGAAAGCACACTCTGCAAATACCCAAAATACCCAGATACCCAAATACTCGCATTGAATCCTTGCCCTCTTGAAGTTTGAAGCCAAACGCTTAAAGGATTAAGCGCCTCAAAAATTGATTTCAACCACAAAAAAAACCCCGTAAACATCCTTTTTACTCAGTATGTGATAAACAGTGCTTGACAAAATCATAGACAGAAATCGTCGAGATTTGCGTTCTTGTTGAAGAAACTGCCCGAAACTTCGCTGTATAGTGCATATGTTAGCCTATCATAATCCCTCGAAAACGGCTTCCAATTTTGCAGAGTTCGAACGGAGAAAAATAGGAAAACTCGAAAAGCTTCTACCAAAAGCTGGACAAGATTATAAGAACACCTGGTTTTTTTGAACACCATCGCACCCCTCTGACTCTAAAATTTTTGTACAGTTACTAAATTATGAGACATTTCCAACATATGCGACCTGTCATCCTTTTTCAAAAGGAAATTTTCACACATTTTTTGCTAAGAGGCACCAAAACTTAATCTGCTTTAATATGAGGTGAAGAGCGCTTTCGTAAACTTTGCGTAATCGCTGATATGGACGGACAGGCTTCAACATCAACATAGGCTTGTCAAAGTGGCTTTCAAACTACAAATCTCAGTTTGCAATGTGCATAATGTGCTGGACTTGGTTTATTACATTGCCTATATGGTGATGCAGTCTTCGCAACAACTTTCAGAATTTTTCTCGTGATGCTTTCGCGATTTAGACCTGAAAAGTTTCCACGAAAATTTTCTGCAGTAGATTCGAGATAATCATCAATCTCAGTATTTTCCTCTCTGTTTCATGTCGCATTCTAAAAGAAAGAATGAGATTAGCTAAGATTTTGAAGTTCTGAGCGATCTCCTGTTCTATCTCGTTATCTGACAAGGATAGGATACTTGGTGACCGTGACCTTCTGAAATGAAACGTACATCATTAAATGCATGGCGCTGATTCCAAGTCTGCTTTCGGTATTTGCTGTGCGCTCTTCAGAACATGTTATGAATTTCTTGCCACCAAAATTTGCACTGTTTTGATGACAGAAGTTACCAATTTCATTAAAATTTCATTACGCACTACAAAAAAGCGCCCAAATAAAATAAAGCTTTACATTAAGTTTAGAATAACTGTCTCGGATATACCAGAATCTAAAAAGCCTGAATACTGATGATTCTGACTGCTTAAATCTCGTGAAAATAACACGGAAAAAAATCCATGACTTTATTGAAAGAGTCGCAAAGCTGATAGTGAACAGACACATAGACATAAAATAGCATTTCAAGACACAACTGGTATACATCCCATTGCAAAAAGCCACGGTCACCCAGAATCTTTTCCTTGTGAGTTGGTTATGTTAAGCAGGATGCTACACTCAACATTTAGTGGATGACACTGCGGCTGAACCATAATGCCCACCTCGAAATTCTTTCCTAACTATGCACACAAGTTTACTTTCTACAGCCGACGTAATGGCTACATTACAGTATTTTCCGTTGCTTGAAAATTGAGTTTTGTGGTTTGAAAGCGTGACAAACCTATGTTAAGGTTGGAGCGTCCGTCAATAGCAGCGTCACGCAGAGTTTATGAAAGCGCTCTTCTAATCATTTATCGAAAAGGCTCAGTGGACTCCATGACTATCATCTGAGATGAACAACAGCTTGAAAACTCTTCAAACTAGTTGTTCGTTAAAGCAGAATGACTTTTGGTGCTTCTTGGAAGCGAAAAATATGTGAACATTTCTCTTTGGAAAGGATGACAGGTCGCGTATGTTGCAAATTCATAATATAGTATGTAATTGTACAAAAAATTATACAGTCAGGGGATGCGAGTTTAGAAAAACCAGGTGTTATTACAATTTTGTCCAGCTTTCGAGGGGGTTTTTCGAAATTTTTTAATTTTTCCGTTCGAACTCAGCAAAATTGGAACCCGTTTTGAGGGATCATGGTAGGCTGACATGCGCATTACACAGCAAAGTTTGAGACAGATTCATCAACAAAACACAAATTACGACGATTTCTAGAGTGTCTTTTATAATAATGTCCAGCATTGTATAAACAGAAGCAGTCATTGATAGCAATCGTTAAATCGCTTCTGTAAAACAAAGCAGTGTAGAAAGTCAGCAGAATATTCACAATTTTGCAAACGTGTTGTTTCCATTAACCTAAAAGTGAGAAAATAAATATTAGGTTGTCTCACAACCTTGACTTCTTACCGCAATAAATTACACACGGAATCGAGCCGAAGGTGTGGTACAATAGGGTTAGATGCGACTCTCTCCCTTCCTTCCAATCCTGTCTCAATAGCCCTTCCTCCTTTTCTTCCTATATACTGGGTACCCTAATATAACGCGTATAAGACGCACCTTTTTCGTTTTTCAAACGTGCCGCTCAGCCGCCTCGTTGTGTTTCGAAAAGCGAGAAAAATCGAAAATTCGAAAAATCCCTTGCGCGTTATATGCGTGAAATTAGGGTACTTCTTTTTACTTACAGTTAATCTCCTCCTAATTTGTTGCAAAGTCATCGTTCCTACAAGGGAATGCTCAGAAGTCAACCAATTCAGACAAGCTGCCATTCGATGCAGCATAGAACGCTGATTTTAGATGTGTCTTCCGTACATGTTGATGCCTTTGTAGGCAAAGTTATGAGCAGCTTTACTGCAAAAAATTCATACGCAAAAGTTGCGAAACAGGCACAGTAATGCCCTTTTAGCTCATCTATAGGGAAGGGCCATTTGTAGTGACCTAGTTGCATGCTTAGGTCCAGCGCTGAGCCGAGAATGGCTGTGTATAGCCGAGTTTGCCCTCTACAAGCTTGATTTCTTGACAAAATAATGGCCTTAAACGGCTTATAATTCCATCCATCAAAGTGTTCTGCAGATAAGAAAGACAGATTCAGAGTCAGCGTTTTATGCTGCATCTAATGGTATGCAGCGTGCTTGAACTGGCCAGTCCGACTACTGACCATTCCCTTGTCAGTAAGGCAATCAAAAAATCGTTTTTTAAAGATGATCTCTTTCCGTTAAATCAAATAAGATTGCGTTTTTGGTTTATAACACTAAGTTTGGCAAAAATCAGCATGCAAATCACATGTTGAGAAACGTACAATAGGAATTAAGTGCATATTTCTCTCAAAACCTAACCTTTAAGGAATGAGCAGGGAAATAGCTCATTCAATCAAAAGGTACCAGTGAAAGTTGCGCGGTATGAGAGGCGTTTATTTCGTTTTAGCATTGTGTTTCTGCGAGATGAGCTCGGATTGGGAAAATTCTTCTAACTCTACAGGATCCATCAACTTCCACGGTGTTTCTAGTTTCACAACATGTTAGTTTTGCCTATACGAAGCATATCGAGCGAACTGCATGTGACTACATGCGTACAGTCTTGATACAGCACAATATTCCCACCACTAAGCTACAGGGCTCTGCCAGATCATGAATTTCGGTGTGGTTGCGGCCATTGTTCACGCAAGATGCAGATATTGAAAGCTAACATGCGATACTAGAAAATCCTTGACAGAAGAGAGAAAACTAAGGAGAACTTAATGCGCGAGCAATGGCTGCAACTCACCGACATTCACGAACATGAAGAGCCCCATATGCAGCAAAAATTGCTCAGAAATAAGATGTTTTTGAATAATTTTCACTCAAACATTCAAAAGCCTCAATCCTCATTCGCATCGGACAATCCTTTACACCAAGCTCTTTCGACTCCTTAAATCCAAATATCAAAAACCGCACTTTACTGCAATGTTTCTACCTAAGGTCATGCAAGATCCAGATCCCGTTCTTTTCCTTATTTGTGTTTCACCACTAATAAGAATGCGAAAAAAAGCCTTGCTGCATAGTTTTCTGGACTTTTTATTTAAAATTTTTATATAACTTCTTTCAATATGGCGCTACATGCTGGAAATTCCCTCCATAAGCACACAATAAGAAGGGCAATTAATTTGCTTCATACTAAAAATTTAAGCTGAAGTCAGCTCTACAGAAGTTATGCCTAAATTTTTACTAAATGGCGGTAAAGCTTCGCTATTCTATGGAGACAGAATGATGAAATTCGGGTGAGACATAGGCTGGGTTCATACTGATTCGTAAGTTCCGGAACAGCTTCAGCCCCGCGCACAATTCGTGCTGGAACTGTTCCGGAACTTATGGATCACTATGAACGCAGCCTCAGAAAGTATCGAGCTCGAGAGCTGGATATGGTTCAAAAAAACATGGACTTAAATGTATATGTTAGTAAGCATATAAGCAATTACTTCAAAAACATGATTATTGGAAAGAGGAAGAACAGTTGGGTCGTGTTGAAA